CTCTAAGCCTCTGAAGGTGACTGAACCATTGCTCTCACAAGGCAATGGGCTGAGTTCAGTTTTGAGGGTTAGAGGTGGGAATCAACAGGTACAAATATAATCATTTTCCTTCCAGAATTATACAGGAAAGGAAACAATCTACTCATCTACTCTTAGTACCTCTGGAATTTGTTTCTAGTTCTTTTGAAACCAAGTACATACACATATCACACATGACACTGGCAAAATCCTTTCTGGAAATAACTGTTCATGGAAACAAAACAAGAAGAAAAACAGGAGGAAAAAATAATAAAGAAAAAAGAAAGAAACAAATAAAATAACAGAAGAGGTTATATCCCCAAACCTTTTTAGAAACAAACATGATACAAAAGAACAAAAACTAACACAGAAACCACAGGGCTCCAACACCAGACCTTTCAACACTGAGGACAAAACATTGATCATCAAAAGTCATGTTGTTCCAGATCTTGACACTGGAAGTCTTGCAATAGATGAACGATTTTCAAATATGAGTCCTGTGTGCTGCAGTGTCATGGCCACTTGTCTCTCAGTTCTCAGCCATGATCACACTTGATGCTTCAAAGCTCTGTCTTGTAATCAATGCATGATTTTAATATCCCGAAAGTCTATTGTTCTGACTTACAAAAGACATAAGAATCAAATTAATACTTTATTATCAAACACTATATACAACAGAGGTTGCTAATAATACAGAATTTAAAGAACATAGCTTTAAGTTTTACTTGTCTTTCCTTCGCCATCCAAGTACAGTACAAAACAATATTCTAAACTAACACGAAATGTTACCTTGTCTATTAAAGGATACACAGTATCCACTAAACTGACTGATCCTTATTTTCCCTGCTTTGTGTTGCAATGCCCTTGACAGCCAGGAGTGCAGGTCATGAGATTAAGTAAACTACCTAGGCTGAGGGAGAGTCAGCCCCTCAGACATGAGCTGGAGCAGATGAAGGGGAAAAGAGAAGAAATATCCTTAACTTGTACCAACATCTGCATTTAAAGCATCCAGAGATTTGAAATGCAACACAAAGCCCATCAGCATTTATGTACTTGGTATGACTGGGATTGCCTGATGCCATCAAGCATCAAACTGGCAGTGTCTGGTATGCTCCCAACCACCCCAGGGACCTGCCTTGCTGTTGCATCACTCATGTTGTTCCTCATCCACCTAGCAGGGCTCCATGATAACACAAAAGGTTGCATTTCACCAGGAGTAACAGTAGTGAAAATTGTTTCCTATGGATAAACATAGCAAAACATAATGGATAAACATATGGATAAACATATCTCAAATTCCAACATCATTCAGAGACAACGAATGAAAAATGAAGTCCCCATTTCTGCCTGAAATGGATGCTACTGGTACAACTGCCTACAATTGCTATTAATCATTTTAATATGGTTACCTATCATGCAACATAATCTGTATTCTGGTCAATAATCCGTTTGATAAGGTGCATTTTGATTAAGCTCACCTCATCCAAAGCTTTTTAATTCCCATCTACTGAAAGTATTAGTGTGTGTAACAAGCACATCCACATTAAAGAGAGAAAAGTACCAGACAGCCTGTAATGAGATGATTGCTTCCCTCCACTGTTTAGGCGCGTATCTTTTTCGTGTGCACATCACACAGGAGGAAATTTCCTAAATTCCTCCTGTAGGCACAAGCCCTGCATTAATGACTATGTTGTATGGTATCAGGCAAGCCCAGATCATAGTTTAGCATGCATAAAACCTCATGTTACATCTTAGATTTATTTTCCCCTTTCCTCTTTTTTTGACTAGTGGGCTGCTTCAACTTCTGGAAAGCTTTTCTACATCAAAAAAAAAAAAAAGAAAGCCCACAAAGTGCTGTCCATTAATGGTATCATTTAATTTCGTTACAGCAGATTTTTTCTTCAGAACTAATACAGAAAACTCTTGTTTTGTTTGAATGTGCTCTTTCTTTTGTTTCACATTTAATATAATTGTGACACCTTTTGTCAGAAAAGCTCCATTTCAGTCTTGGTCTGATATTTCTGTGATTATGCTTAGCAGTTCAAATTTCATGGCAGCCTACCCATGAATACCCCAAGGTATTCAATACCAAAAAATACCCCAAGGCTTACACTTCCTGGCAAATGACTTTTTAAAGTTCTATGCTAGCCAAGGCTCAGATTCCTTAAGCAGGGTCACTACTAATTCCACCAAAAAAGACAGCTCCATTTCCTAATTGCATCAAGGGCTACCATTTCTCTCACATGTTTAAATAGGACAAGCATATATACTCACTCTCAGCATAAAGTATATCTAAGTAATGTATTTTCTATTCTAGTGGATTTTTAAAAAAATATTTTGTTAAGTCTTTGGGAGCCCATCTAGTTTATCTCCAACTGATAAACACGTTTCCTCTACTCTTCAAACTGTGCTGGAAGGGGAAAGGATAAAAAAATCAACACTTGAATTCATATTCCACACGTCATTTCTTCCCCTTGCCAAACAATGCTACTAGACTGCCCTGGCTTCTTCTACATGTGGTTTATTCCCATGATTGAGGAACTTGTGGGAGAGACAAATCAAGAGCACACTGGAGATCCTGTGTCCCAAATGTGTTTCCTCTGGCCCCAGATGTCTTCTCTTAGCATGTATTAACACTCAGAGCAGCATCCAAGGCTATCAGCTACTAAGTCAGCGCTGGGGAAGGTCACTTTATTCTCAAAAGTGCCTCTGCATTTCAAGAAAAAAATTGTAGCACCACGGTGATTTGTTTTAAAATAAAATAATCCGGTGTGCATTATCCCCTTAAAACGAAATAACAGAGGCACTCATACCCCCAGTGAAGTTTCCTAAATCTGACCTTGCCTGCTGTGTGCTAACATTCCTAAATACTAACTTCTTCCTCTCACCAAAGACAGCTTTTCTACTTGTGAGCACAAATTTTACTGTCAAAGATGTTTTAAGACAGTCCAATAAGAAACATTGTCTTTCTCTTTCAGAAGCCTGTTAATTTAGAAACTCCTGGAGGAAATGGTGTTATCTCACATCTATTCTTATTATTTCTCATCCAGTCCTGACACGGTGACACAATGCCTTGCACAATCATCTTACAGTGCTGAAAGAGAAGGCATAAATATCGTATTGGAGAGAAAAACTCTCCCAGGCTTTCACTCACTTTTCTTATCATTCACTGACTGCATCTGCCACTATTCTTCCTTGTCCACATATGGATGACACAGTGAACTAACCGAGGTGACTTCCTAAAGGAGAATGCAGAGGAAAATAAGAGTCACTAGTGTCACTATTATAGTTTGGCATTTTCGTTTGGAGTCCTTTTATTTTTATGGAGGGGTTAAGAAAGTCACAGGGTACATAGGGATGGGTGCTGAAGCTAGTTATCCCCTTAAAATTTTTGCTGAGTTCAGGCTAAAAGGGAGAAGAAAAGGGAAAAGGGAAAAATAACAATTTGACATCTGCAAAAACAATAAAGTCCCTTTCCTGGGATGAACAGTTAGGTGGATCTTTGATGTTCCAAGACCCTGATATTTTCTGTGACTGGTTGTTGAAGCATACTGTGCTATAATATCAAAAGCATTGCCAGGAGGAATAGTAGAGTTGCCAAAAGCCGGCTGGGTATCCTTGGTGTCTGTGCTGTGTTCTCGCCACGGGATGGCTCGGCTGACTCATGTACAGTATCATCTGTTCAAACAGAAAGCATACATTCCAATGAGATTTTGCATCCTTAATAAACTCTCACTGAGCCAACAACTGTAAGTAGATTTCAGTGCCTTTATGAAATAGGGCAATGAACCTTGTGCTGTCATTGACTTTCACAAGCGTGTAATAATCTCATTATGTAACCAACTTGGGACTAAGTCTTGCATTTCTTACTGGCAAAACTCCCATTGAAGACCAGAGGAGCAGAAAGAGTGATTTCAGTGAATTGAGGAACGAAAGATTTCTCCTGTAATAAGACATTGTAGTTTTAGCTTTGGATGGTTTATTAAATAGCAATGTCAATAGTGAGGCAGTTAAATAAAAACATCTGATTTTAAAAAGGACTTGAAAAGGAGTTGCACATGCTCAGAATTAATTTTGCCGTTAATTCCCTTACTGATTTACAGATTTTGAATTTGAAATGAGAGCCTGGAAGACCAAGCATGTATTCCACTTCCACACATAAAATTTCCATGGAAGTTTACTGCATTTGAGGATGTGCAGGGGTATAAGACCTGTCTCCCCTTCTTGAAACAGGACTTTAAAAGCTAACACATGAAGTAATTAAAAAATAATCTGTCTGAGGCTTGCCATAAAAAGTCAGCACTGGGTTTGAATTTTCTTATTACTAAATTAATGAAGTAAGCTAAACCTTTTTAAGAAGTGTGAAGTGACCTCAAAATATATTCATAACATATTTTAGAATGCCTACATTTCCAGAAAAATTATTAGTATCTCACCACTTAGTGTAATAGGATCTCCCATTTTATGAAGCATGTTGACACACCTATGATGTATCTGTCTTGTAGCTCCCATCTCAACAAACTGCACTGCCAGGATTACACTGGGTGAAAACTGTGTAATTCAAATTAAAGGCACTAAGGGAAGCGGGATTCAGTCTACTGGGATCACCATGTTGCTTTGGCATGGAGCCTTTCACATTACCTAGCTTTAGCTTGCAACCTGCTCCCTCCCTTTCATATCCTTGACACCTAGCACAAAAGCAGGTAGAGCACTTAACATAATTTAGGTTAATAGGCTCTTCAGCCTCAGTTTGGTTACACGGCAAAATGCACAGTAAACTAGATTAGCAATCTATTGCAAGTCTTTTTTCCATTTGTAACTGATGCTACAATTGTGTCAGGCTTACCAAAGGGTCTTCAGTGCTGCTCAAGGTAAAAGTATGAAAAGCAAGCACTGATCAGCTATAAATACATCCACATTCATAAGAAAGGGACATAATCAGATGAAAGCCCCACTGATGTCAGTGGGAAAGACTGGCTGGAATGACTTTGGTCACAGCTCCTCACCATGTGTAACAGACACTCCCAGGCACTTTGGCCCTGAAGGAGACCCTAATACTTTTCCTCCATAATTATTCCAAAGGAATCTAAAAATTTCAGCCAACACTGGTTATTGAAAACTACCAGTTTCAGTGGTTGTCAGTATCATAAGTTGTTTCACATCCGAGTTCTGAGTTTAATTCTTGTACTTTGGTGACACTGCAATACAGTACTTCACAAGACCAGCTTCTCAACCAAATCATACTGTAAGAAGTTAAATGGAAAAAATATCTTTGTTCCAACTGTCTGTCCTACCTCTTATATACCTTCATATATTTAGAGTAAACTCTTCCCACTTTGAAAACATTTACTCACTGCTGATGAACTTAAACTATCGGAAAGGACTGATGTGCATTACCTTTTACCTTTTGCATCATCAATAGAACTGCAAATAAGTCTGAATTTGCAACACTGAATGTCAACAGTTTTGTTCTAATTACATCCATGAGTAAGTACTAAAACACAATAGGGCAGAACTAGTGTAGAGCAGTAATAAATCCTCATTCTCTTTGACTATCAGGTACTGCCATGACTGGAACTATTGGCTATTTTGGCTATTGCTAAAAACAAACAAACAAACAAACACAAAACCAAAACAAAAAAAAACCCAAAACAATTAAAAAGCCCTAAAGAGATTACTTATTTTAAATGAAAAATATCGAGATCTGTTATGACGCCATTTTTATAAAGCCATTCTTCACAGGAGAATTAATTTTCATGTTACATTAAGTGGCTTCTTTCATGAAATCATCTGGGTTTTCTGTGAATGCAATCCCGAGGTCTCTGCACTCGTATATTGGAGCATGCAATTCATCTCTAGATCTCAAAATCACTTCACAAATATTATTTTCCTTGGAGATGCAGAGTTATAATGCTGCACAATCTTTAATGCTTAAGGAAAAGGTTTTGCTTTATTTTAAACCCTGAAAGGCAAGTGATGAAGAGAACAAAATTCCTGAGTAAAATCTGGAAGGTGATTGCTAAAGACTGGGAATACCACCAGTAATTAGAAAAAAATATTTTCACAGCCATGAATTTTCCAAATCACATAGCTCTACATCATATGCTTCAGGTATAATCTTTCCAGATATCCACAGCTGCAATTCTTATTTAGGAACCTTTTTGTTTTATTATTAAGGAGAAAGAGAAGAGGAGGAATAGAGCCAACTACTTTCATAACTTCTAAAACAAGTTTGGTCTCTATAGACCAGTTTTCTACAAGTTCCTGAGCAAAACTAGTGAAATTGCAAGGGTTCAAAAATAACACAAATGGTGATTTTTAAAAGAAAAGTGACAGTAAGTAATTTGCTGCCTTCCAATTCTTTTTTCTACTGTGGAAGAAGACAGTGGCAGGCTAGGGGAGAGTACAGGATCAGGAGATGCACACCATAGGCAGGAAAATTAGTACACGATGCAGATCACATGGAACAGGATCCACGTGTCTAACAACCTAAAAACAGAAAAGTGTGACAGCAGCTGGCAGATCTGGGAAATGACTGATTACCTAATGGTGACTGGTCCAAATAATAATGCAAATATAGATCGATGTCAGGAGTGGCAACTTTTTGGTAGCAAACCTTTTTATTAAAGCTATTCTTTCCTTCAGGTAACACATATAGTATTTAATCTCAGATTGCAGGATGGTCTTCGTATGATTTTGGCTCCCTGATTTGTCTGTTGCTTTCTAACAATATGCTTTTGTGATGATACTAGTTAGGTATAGCCATTTAATGGGATGTGAGCAGCACTGCTGAAAAAATACGCTCAGCAAGTTCACTAAAATCAGCCATTTATTACTCAGATGGTGTCTTTTGAAAAACAAACAACAGGAGAAATACACATTAATTAGCCTATGTTCACCAAACCACAAAACATTAAAAAGTGCATTGGGTTACTAGATTCATAGGTTACCTAGAGATAGGGAAAGTTCACCCCTAATACCTTCTGTAGAAGAATACTGGTAATTAATGTACGAATGTATTTACATGTACCCTCCTTGCATTTAGATTTGCTTAGATAACAGCTTTTATTCTCAAAACCAAAATTTTTAGAAGAGTTCTGAAAATCCTCTTAAAGAAAAATAATAAAATCTGTTGTGCATCCACAGTTAAATAATTCAAAATGGGTAACTTGTGAAAGGCTTATTTATACTTCTGTAAAAATAATGACTTTTAGTTAAAGGAACTGCAGATAACAAAAAGCAAAAAAAATAGTATATTACTTCGTACCAAATGGGACATCACTTTCAAATAGCACAAAAGAAAAAAAAAATTGGTAATCTGTTCTTTAAGGTACATCCAAAATGGTATGTGCAAGGTATTTTGTCTGGTATAATTTGTTTATTTAACTGTGTCAGTGTGTAGGTACATGTGAAATAAACAGGTAAAACTACTATTGCAAATACTTTTCCTATATAGCCACCTAATTTTAATGTCATGAGCCATCCCATTTAATTTGGTGGGATTACTCAAACATCTAGAATTAAACATGCTTCTATCTGTCAGAAACCTGAGCCATACAAACAGTACATGTGCACATGTGAGAGACACATTAGCTTGACTGATGATGGAGGTTAATGTAACTTTGCCCTGGGCAGGTGGGGGACTTTACCATAGCAAGCATTATTCTTATTCTTCAGGCAGTGTTTTGCAAAACATAGGCAGAAAATCCCCCCAAAAAACTTAAGTTTGCTTCAATAAAACAGGATAGGAATTTACATATAACTCTGTGTGTGTGTGCACGCGCGTGCGCATGCACACACGTGTGTATGTAAGAATTATACTTTGCATAACAAAATATACATACAAATATATATAATTTTAAAGGATTAATTTCTTAAACACTAATTCTGTCAGTCCAGCATTAAATATGAAATGGTTCTTTTTTTCTGAAAGTATTTTTAAATTACATAATAAATGAAATGTGCCAATTGACTTTACTTGTAAAACTTTGGGCCCAGTTAGTAAACAGTGCTTTGCCAGCATGCTGGGTGTTTGGCTTGGATGGGCCAGTGACTTCAGGGTAATGGTGGAAATTTTACACTGGCACACACCGTATTTTATTAAATCACATCATCCAAAAACCAAATAAAGCAACATTTTTCCTCCTCTGCATTAAACAAGCATACAGGAAATATACCGTAAGAGATATTAGCACTGCTAGAAATGTGCAAAAGCAGAGCAGTTGTATCATGTAAAGCATGCAGAGAGAAGAGGGGAAAAAAAAAGTCCTGAAACAGCAGAGGGATACATGCATTTGTTAAAAGAGATTCTCTAAGCATACTAACCTGCTGGTTCTAATGAATTTTCTACTTTGTCGTTAACATCGAAAACACGATCATGAACACCTATAGTTTTCATACAGCTGTCTATAACAAAAATAGAGATAACAGCCAAATATGTTAGTGAGACACCCTTAAACTTCCCACTTTTCTTTTCTTCTCTTTTTTATCTATTTAATATATATTTTTAAACATACTCATATTTTAAAGTCTATGGTACTTGTTCAACTGCCAGTATAGTCTTCCATTCATACAACAGTTTAAGAAACAAGAAGTTAGCAACTGCCATGTAATTAAAACAGAGCTTGAGAAATTATGAGAAATACAATGAAAATCATAACACAAATGTTGCTGTGCAGAACAGGTACAGAAGATTTAACAGTAAAAAAAAAAAAAAAGATTTACTGCTGTTTACTAGATCACACAGAAAAGCATGTATTAGAAAGCCACCCTTAAAAGCTTAATACGAAGAACTTACTTGCTGGTCGCACAAAGACCTTAAGCTTTAGACAGGACCTCCTTCCATTATCTGGGATCGCAGAAGCTGTAAATAGGGAAGAAGGAAAGGCAAGTGGAAGAGTAAGAGAGTGAAAATGCAAATAATCTTTTGTGCCAAAATAAAATACCCTTTCTCTTCCCTTCATCTGAAGGGCTGGACACATTTCAGCCTCTGCATGTAAGGACTTCAAGTGCACAAGGTATCATGATTATGCAAAAGCAGGGAAAGTACTGTAGATTTTATTTTAATTCATTTTTTAAATTAGTTTACACAGAAGAAGTGAAGCACATGGTATTTTCAATATTTCATTATCTCCTTTCACCTTTCCACACCTTTTTGTCAAGTGGTTGTTTAATGTTTTCTGCTGTAATGCAGGCATCTACTCAAAAATACACATAATAATAATAGTAATTAAGATCAGTTAAAGAAAACCTAGTCTTGAAACACTAGGCCACAGACTTCAGGAACCCAAAAAGGGATGAAAAAAACCCCAAATTACACTGAAGGTGACGATGCTAAAACAGAACTATCTATCTACTCCCACAGAAGTAGAAATACACAACATTAAATTCTACAGCAGAATCAGCCTCCATATGCTCCCACACATCTGCCTTTGTTGAGAAAACACTTATCATGCTTCAGTCAAATCATGATTACTCATGTTACTTAACTAACAAACCAAAACATGCTTATTCCTTCTTTCTGCCCTTCCTCATAATCTCCCATTGAAAGTATTTTATTTTAAGAGTACTTACTACATTAAGAGAAAAACAGTAAGTGGAAGCAACATGTCTAGCTCTAATGCAAAAATATCACATACATAAGACTCTTGTCATCATCTGCTTATTTCCCAGGAACAAGTGCTACTCTGAAAACTTCCTTTATAGAACTGTGCTTGCCTCAAAATACAGGATCATAGGGAAATATACCTGCCTGCCACCACAGACTGGACTCCCTAGCATATTGTCTGGCAATCTGAACACGTTGATAACTTTCATCAATGTCTGCAATTTTGAAATTGTACATTGGCCTGCAGTTCAACATGCACACTGGTAACCACATAAATTGACTTAGGCATGCAGATTTTCACTTGTGAATGACTATTTGCATATACATTTTTTTGCCCTTGAAGAAACCCTGAAAAGCTATAGCTGAAAAATATTGCCTGAAGAACAGCAATGCAATTTATATTTCATTGCCTAATTTTCCACCTCATTCAAAAAGCTCTGTATTACGGCAGGACAAGTTGCCTTTTGCAGAAAATGGCAACTACTGGAAGCTGTCTAAATTAACAAAAGATGATTGGACTTGCAAAATGTTAATTTGTTATCACTGTTACATCCATTTTTATTAATTCTGTCCCCGTTTGTGACAGATAACTAAAATTATTTATATACAGACTCCTGAATGCACACACTTTGTCTTCATGCTATGCTCACTCTCTATGCAATAAAGGGCTCCTCAGCTAACTTAAAGTTAAATCCCTCAGTCATTGATGATGTGTTTTCAAGGCACGCATCAGCAAACACATTCTTATCAAGACTTTCCTAGAAGAGCTTACCAAGAAGAACTAGCAAATGCGGTACAAACACAAAAAGAGCAAAGTTTGAGCTCAATACAGCTAATGCTGTGGTTCTACATCTGCTGGGAAGTGGTTGAAAAATTGTTTCCTTTTAATCAAAAGACAAAAATGTGTAGAAATGGTGCCCTCCTGCTTCACAATTGCAAGCAGTTAAGAAGTGTTAACAGCTGGCTTTGCTGTCGGCTGTTACTAAATCAAAGTCAGAAAAACCCCCTTTAATGACATTTACAGTAACTGGTGTGTTATTTAGGGCACAGTATTTGCACTTTGTGGTTATATTCAGGAAATTGTGTCCTTTCTGTGGCTCTCAACTGGCTAAATGCTTTGCTCAGACTAAACAAGCAGCTGTAGATTTCTCAAAAGATAAGAATCCTATAGTTATTAACACAGTACTAGCATAAAGGCAGAAACAACATTTCCAACATAAGCAAAAATAGAGTCCATACAGTAATTTTAATACTAATGAATTTTTCCTGATCAGAAATTATTTCAGAAGTGCATCATGACACACATTTATTTAAAGGCAAGTTTTAGCTTTGATGTGTACATGCTGTTGTTTATGTCCATAAAATAAGCACATTTGGGCACACTGCTGTTTATTGGAATGCTCTGTTAGTCAGTGATTAACCAGGATACCACTGACTAGCTACGATAGCTATGAGCTAATAATATTCTATCTGGAAAAAGACAGAAAATTAATGCTTTGTATATATAAAGTTTATACGTGTACATAATATTTGCACACACTTCAAAGCAAACAACAGTGATTGGCCATTTTTTCTTTGGGGAAAAAAAAAATCTATTCCATGCTTAAATCTTTTTACATTAGTCCTCACACAGGTTTCTGTACTATAGACTATACCATGAACTGCAGTACTATTGCAACCATAACAGTTGCATTTAACTCATCATCCCAGAAACGGATCCAGCTTTAGTGGTAAGTATGAAAAAGTGTCTTCCTTTCCAGGGAAATTGGGTACTGTCAATGTTTGCAGTAAGCCCAGAAAGATTTCTTTTTAATCTATGTTTTACTGTTTCAGAAGGAATAATAAGAATGAAAAAAAATCAAGTAACATATTGTTCTGTTCTTACATCTGCCTCAATAACCAAGAAAATGGTATAAAGGAATACACTGCAACTTCTTTGGCCTTCCTGAGAAATTAAGAACTGTTTGGCAAGCACAATGAATGCACTAATTTTTTTTTCTTCCCTCCTTCTCCCTCCCTTTCTTTTCTCCTTTTCATCTTAAAAGAAAAAATGCAGACCAGCTGCAGTATTTTCCTCAAGACCAGATGTCTCACCCACAGGAAAGAATCAGGTTGGCTTCTATCATTTGTCTTCCTCCCATACACATTGCAGAAAGTGTGTCAGTAGTGTTCTGTTCTCTCCTCCGTCTTCTTTATTCTGCAATATTTTCAGCAGTATCCTATAAAAACCCTGCCTGTTGGATTAAGATGTCCAGGATATGATGGCAACAGCTGGGATTATTTTCTCCCCTCTTTCAGCAGCAAGCTCAAGATACTTTTTCTCTTAATGTTAGGCACATCACATTTGCTGTTTACTACTGAAAGCCAAGAGTCCTCATTACATCTAGGGTTTTTTGTAAGCAAATGCCTCAAAGCTTGAACTCAAGTTGATGCTTGAAGTCCTATTCTTCTACATGAAAGTAGCTTTAATGGCAAACTCTTGCAGAAGAGGACAGAACTCCAAATCAGAGTGACTTACCAACCAGAAATTTGACCAAAAGCTACAAAGAAATACCAAATGACAAAAGCAACACAGCAGAAATTATAAATGGCACATATTAATATATACTTAAAATAAATGCTAAATATGCTTTTTCTGAAGCAGAAGTTATGATGAAGCTAGGACCTAAGAAAAGCTGAAGCTTACATGAAAAATTGTGGGATCAGTTTGAACAAAAAATCTCCTCTCAAACTGACTGCAACAGAAAAAAAATCAAGTCTTGACTTTAGGACCTAAAGGTAGAAAAGACCAAAGCATTAGCAGAAGAAAGTTCAGTGGTTTAAAGGTGTTTTAGTTTCCAGGAAAGGTGGGTTTCCAATGCAGCAGAGTCCGGCAAATTCCCTGACACGCTTGCATGCCTGCAAGAGAGCAACATTTGCTGAAGGCCAGAGAGGAGAGAGAGAACTGCTTTTTGTCAACTCAGATCTGTTAAAATTGCTTCCAGGTAAACTATTGCTGTTGTTGCTACATTCCAGTGAAATTAGCCATAGTATACAAAAAGTATTACTATTCTAAGTCATGCAAAGAGATAGTTCATCCTTCTTTCTACACAAAACCAGCTTAGTCCCTAAGGCTTTGGTGTAAGGCTTTTCTATTCATTCACTTTAAATGTGGTATTAGCTATAAAACAGAGTCCAGTTCTGAGAGCAGGAAGCCTCTGATGCTGTCCCAAGCAACACTTTCCATTTCAAAAGCCAAAAATCCCAAGAAAAGAATGGCAATTGAAACCTTGCTGCACAACAAAAAGAAACCTTTGGAAAAAAGATCCCTTATAAGAAGCATAAGAGGTTATAGCCTCTTTTTTTCCATTAATTATATTAAAATAGAAAAGGTCTGACTGGCTTAGTTTGTGGCAGAAAGAATTACAATGTAAAACAGAAGAACTCTGCACTGTTGCTAGTTCCTATATGCTATCACATTTCCTATTATAATTTACTCTTTCCTTGCCCTACTTTACCAGCAACTTCATGACAAACTTCCAGGTTTCTCTTTTAAAGAACATGTTTTAGACTTCATGGTTACACAAAGACTTGGAGTTAGAAGGAAGTGCACAATAAAATCCCTCTGAAATCACAAGATATATGAAAACACCTCAATGATAATTAAAATAACTGGTTTGGTCTCTTCATTATTTTTTTTAATAGGAAAATTCCATTATTCAGAAGAAATTCAAGTAATGATCTCTGTATTCTTGAGATCATATAATCATCATAGAATCACAGAATGGTTTGGGTTGGAAGGGACCTTAAAGATCATCTAGTTCTGCCTCCCTTGCCATGAGCAAGAACATCTCCCACTAGACCAGGCTGCTCAAAGCTCCATCCAACCTGACCTTAAACACTTCCAGGGATAGGGCATCCACAACTTCTCTGGGCAACCTGTTCCAGTGCCACCTTCACAGTAAAGAGTTTCTTCCTTATATCCAATCTATATCTACCCCTCTTTCAGATTACAACCATTATCCCTTGTCCTGTCACTACACTTTCTGATGTAAAGTCCCTCCCCATCTTTTCTGTAGGACTCTTTTAGGTACTGGAAGGCTGCGATAAGGTCTTGGATTCTTCCACAGGCTGAAAAACCCCAAGTCTTTCAGCCTGTCTTCATAGAAGAGGTGCTCCAGCCCCCTGATCATCTTGTGGCCCTTTTATGAACTCTCTCAAGAAGGTCCATGTCTTTCCTGCACTGAAGGTTCCAGAACTGGACACAGTACTCCAGGTGGGGTCTCACTGGAGCAGAGTAGAGGGGCAGAATAACCTCCCTCAACCTGCTAGCCACACTTCTGGATATGGTTGGCTTTTTGGGCTGAAAGCACACATTGCCAACTCATGTTAAACTTATCATCAACCAACACACACAAGTCCTTCTCCTCAGGACTGCTCTGAATGCATTCTCCACTCAGCTTGTATTTGTGCTTGGGATTGCCCCTACCCAGGTGCAGGACCTTGCACTTCACCTTGTTGAACTTCACGAGGTTCAATTAAAATTTCTCTTCCATTAGTTGAACTAGAAAAAAACCCAAACCACACAATAAACTACTGGACATAGGACTAGATCCAAGCTGGATCCAAATATGGGACCATAAAGACAACTTAGATGAGAAAATTTCTCTTCTCTGAACCACTTCTGGCTACTATTTTTACACCATGTAAGGAAAGGAAAGACAGCAAAGAAAGTTATTTTCTTCTCATCTAGAGCCAAACCATAAATACTTCAGTATTTGCTCGCTATATTTAAATATGAAAAAAAAAATACAGCTCCCCTCATCCCACTCGTAAGCAGTTCTGTGATAACAGGTCCTAACCTAACATAACCTAACAGGTCCTTCCTCAGCCATATAAGGCTTAGCAGAGTTATTTAATGTATGCAGAAAGCCACAGATAGAGAACAAAAAGTAACATACACAGAAAACAGTGCAGGGTTTTTTGACAAAGTTTTGCAGTTTAATTTACTATGTTAAATCCCCAAAACTCCTTAACAGAGTCATCAGGATATGTCCCAATCAACCTACAAAATAAGGTAATTAAAAAGTAAATGTACAAAAAAGCAAATGTATTAAAATTTCAAAGTAACTATTATGACCAGCTAGTCATGTGACAAAAGCTGTAATTAAGTATTTTCTTTCATGAGATAGGCAGCGGTTTGGCTGGCAACTATCTGAGACTGATTTTCTATCCTGAGTTTCTTTTAGGATGTTGCA